GCCAGGAGTAACCCCTATGCATCACCGGGTGTGACCCAAAAAGAAAAAAAAAGATCTGGCACTTTGGCCAAAGTTAATAAAATTGTTACAGCTGAACTGAGACATGATTTTGACTGCCACCTAGTGGAAGAGATAGAATCAACCACAAGCCAAAGAGGCTAAATAATCTAAAAAGATCAAATGTTGCTTTCTGTACTGACATTGAACAAAGATACCACCCAAAGTGTGACGATATATAAGATGATCTGAGGATGCACAAGGATAAGTGCTATTTTAATTACTTGTTATCTTTTACAATTCATATTTGAAAAAAGTATAAATACTGCTTCTAATCCATCATTTCAGAAATAGGCAAAGGCTAAATTAACCCTAATTTTAAATAATAATAAAATTTTACAATATGCACATGAAATTATGATATTACCCAGCTCGTAATGGCATAAAAACAAAGTCACAATATGACTCAAATAACTGAAATTCAGGAAACAGTTGTCTAAGATGAATCTTCTTTATATATATGGCAATGTATAGAGAATATAAAATAAAATTTTTTTGATACTCAACATTTCTCTTATTTAATAATAAACACTTATTCTCTTTTCCGAAATAGGCTATTTCATAAGCAAATTAGTATCCAATACTGCTAATTCCCTATAAAGGCTTGCCTTCCTTAAAACATGCTTATCTAAGTAGTTATCTCATGTTTGTGAATAGCTGATCCTCTCTCACTTTGACAAGTTTCATTAAGAAAATACATCCTTTTAATCAACACCATTAACAAATTTCCAGTGAACTGAACTACTGACAATTTATTGCAATGGAATTAATTTTAATGACCTGTTTTACTGTCACAGTGGTTAATTATTTATCATAGAACTTAGAGGTTTCAAGACAATTCTAAGCATTCAGTCAACAATCATTAGTTCTTATATTCACAGATACTACAAAATGAAATGAAAATGACAAGATTCATAATTTCCTATGATGACTACTATGTGGAATGATCAATTTCTCTTGTAAAAATTTTACTTGTCACTACCAGCTGCAATAAAGATTAAAAATATTAACTACCTGGATAGTAGAAAGAGGATTATCAAGATTAGCTTTAAATCAATATTTCTTCATTTCCTGGATTGGAACCCATTTCAATCCTTAACAAAACAAGACTCTGTGGCAAGGAATAAATGGGATTACTGAGTATTTGTTCAGTACTCAAAGTACCTGCTATATTTCTACTTAAACACATTTTATATCTGAAGGCAACTACCCATTCTTAGAATTTTCTATTTATTCCTCCAGCTTCACTTACACATATCTCATAATTTACCAATTCATTTCTATCAAAACAGCAGTATGATCTATGTTCTGCTCTTGACTTTTCACTTAATAAATGTTGGAAACTTATTCCAATTTGGTATTAAAATAAAGTAACTTTTTTTTTTTTTTTGCTTTTTGGGTCATGCCCAGCAATGCACAGGGGTTACTCCTGGCTCATGCATCCAGAAAGTACTCCTGGCGGTGCTTGGGGGACCATATAGGGTGCTGGGAATTGAACCCGGGTTGAACGTGAAAGGCAAACAACTTACCCGCTGTGCTATCGCTCCAGCCCCTAAACTAACTTCTTTTGTTACTTCTATGTTTTGGACCACACCCAACAGTGCTCAGGGCTTACTCCTGACTCTGTGCTTGGGGATCACCCCTGCCAGGGTTGGAGTACACTATGGAGTGTGGAGGATAGAACCTGGCCAGGTCAAATGTGTGCAAGGCAAGAGCCCTACCCGTCGTACTAGCTCTCTGGCCCCATGTCACATCTTTCTTTTTAATGGCAGAAAACATTCCATTTTATGAATCTGCCAAAATATATTTATCCAGTCCTATAAGAAAAGACATTTTGTTTTCAATCTTGCAACTATAAAAATGCTGCATTAAGCAATTTTCTAAAAACATTATTAAACATTGTGAGCATAATCTTAAACGTGAAACTTCTAGGTGTTAACAAGCTTTGGAACTGTGAGCATAGTTTTTTTTTGTGGGACTGAGGGGATAATATTAAAGTTATGGATTTAAATATAAAGAGTTAAGACATTTTACTTTAGAGTCTTCCCACAGGCTAAAGAATATGCCTTTTCTGTACATACTTTACTGATTCTAGCACTTAAACATTTCTGAAAGGACTTGTGTCATAATCAACTCATCGCTGTCAGCCTGGTGGCAGTCAGGACAGCAGTTATTTCCAGGGGAAGACAGGCAACTGCCATCCTTGGCCATTTCAATCATCAAACTACTTAAGTACCATTTAAGGAATATCTAGGACATCGTCTGTGACACCTTCTGGTAAGATCAAGAAAGTGCAAGCATCAAAACAAAGCATCAGTGATTTGGACAAAAACTCTTTCAAGAGATGATCCAAGGAGAAGAACAGACATAGAATGATCACACTCATTTATGGAATATAATAAAACATGAGACTAATCTCCAAGGACAGTAGAAACAAGGACAAGGAGGATTAGCGTACAGTTGAAAGCCTGCCTCAAGTACTGGGGGAGAAGGCAATTGGGATAGAAAAGGAACCATTATGAAAGAGAGTCGGAAATGATCACTCTGTTTAAAAACTGTGTCTTTAAGTAGGTAAAGGAACAAACACGATAACCTCTCAGTATCTGTATTAGAAACCATAAACCATAATGCCTAAGAGAGTGTGTGTGGGGGGGGGGGAAGGAGGGCGGGAAAGAGAGAGAGAGAGTACCATAAACGTAGGCTGGGGGATGGGGGTGTGGGGGGGGCATGAGGGAAACTGGGGTCACTGGTGGTGGGATGAGTAAATGGTGTTGGATCATTGTATGGCTGAAACCCAATCATGAACAGCTTTGTAACTGTGTGTCTCACAGGGAAGGAAGGAAGGAAGGAAGGAAGGAAGGAAGGGAGGGAGGGAGGGAGGGAGGGAGGGAGGGAGGGAGGGAGGGAGGGAGGGAGGGAGGAAGGAAGGAAGGAAGGAAGGAAGGAAGGAAGGAAGGATCCATTATCAGAGGCTGGATATGGTACCACAGCAGAATATATTTCTGGTATGTGTGGGGCTCCTGGCACCACTATATATATATATATATATATATATATATATATATATATATGAGAATGAGAAAGAGAGAGAGAGAGAGAGAGAGAGAGAGAATACATTATGAGTGCCTTTAAAGGTACAAATGACAATTTTGATTTTTGTGAGGCAAAAAAAATCACCAGTTTATTCATTTGGGCTACACTGGACAGTACTTTAAGGGTACTCCAGGTCAGTGCAGAGGGATGGCTTCTAGTGTGCTCAGAAGACCATGCAGAGCCCGGGATTGAACCGGGGGCTCCAGCATGCAAATCGTGAGCTGCAGTTCACTAAGCCTTGCCCCTGGCTTCCAAAATATCACTCTTGATGACTCCAAGTCAAAAAACAACTCAGACCACAAAGGACCAAGATCAGAGGAGGTAGAGGTTTTGGGTGCTTTGCTGATGGTGCAGTAACTTTGTATGCCAAGAGCACGAACACTAATTCTATTGTAAATCATATACTTAAGAAAAATGGAAAGAAATTATTTGAAAGAATTAAATGTGAAATACTAGTGATATATTTTCTTTTTTAAAATAAAAATGGAATGGGAGGGGGTGACTCCCGAGCAGTGTAGACAGGGCCTGGGCGTGGTCCCAGAGATACTCAGTTTGGCTATGAATGCCTGAGGCTTCAGTGGTCAGCCTGGCAACATGGTGCAGCTGTGGCTGAGTGCTAGGAATCACCAAGGGCCACAGGAGAGCAGGCAGTGTGGGGCACAATGCAGGACCCCTGCATATAAAGCACGTGTGCTAGCTCTTTAAGCCATCCCAGGGACTCTATTTCCATTGCTGTTGTTTTGGGATCACACCGGGTGATGTACAGGGCTTACTCCTAGTTCTGTGCTCAGGGTCACTCTTGGCAGGGCTTAGGAGACCTTGTAGAGTGCTAGAAATTGAACTGAGTCAGCCACAGTGCAAGGCAAGAGTCCTACCTGCTGTACCATATCTTTGTCCACTATTTCCATTTTTCTGTTTCTTTTTGTTTTGGGGTCACACCCAGTGGTATTCAGGAATTATTCCTTGCAGGCCTGGCGGACCATATGGGGTGCCAAGGATTGAACCCAGGTCAGCCATGTGCCAGGCAAATGCCCTACCTGCTGTACTGCTGCCCAGCTATTTCCATTTTTATAACTGTTCAAGAGACATGACAAAAATAGCAAAATAGCAAGGTCAAGAGTTCTTCAGTAAATGCAGAATTTTTTTTCTGAGCCCTAAAGTGATTTTTCTGAGCCTTAAAGAGTCCTAAAGCAGTGGTTCTGACAGCAGTTTATCATAAGACTATAAACATATACATATAAACAAAATAATGCAACTTAGAATCAACATCTCAAATTTGAAGAAATACTTTAATTTTTATTTTAGGTCAATGAATCGCATTTTATAGTTTTTTTAAATAGATTTTGCACATTCTAAAGGTATTCCTATGGATTTATCTTTTCTTCGATCATATTCTCATCAAAATATTATTTCTGGCTATTTTGTAAGTAGTCTCTTGACTAAATTTTCATACAATTGACAATAATTTTAATGGGTTTCCTGGGTTTTTCAAGTATACAATGGAAAGAATTTTAGATTTAAAGTACTATCTTAAACTACCTACTAGAACTTAGCACCTGGCATACTGCCTTAAACAAAGCAGCCAACTGTATACAATGATTAAATGAATTCTATGAACGAATCTTACTTTGTAAAACTTACTCTAAACCCTCCCAAATTAGATACTGTGTTTCATGTTAAAAAAAGAAGTTTAAATGCCAAAATAGTACCCACATTTGTTCTTTCCCGAACAGAGACACATAGCTCTAATAAAAGTTTTATAATCGAAGGTATGTATGAGTTGCAACTATTTGTATTTTAGTAGTTTAAAACCCAACTTATAAAATAATTATTTTATTTTAAGCATTTACCTTTTAGATCTTATATCTGATGAGTCAAACTGGATATTCATTGGTCCGGTATTTACTTCTTGATCTACCTCAGAGATGAGGAGATGACTAGAATCACTATCTGTATTTGCCATTTTTCTCAGATTTTAAACTCTGAAGAATCCAGTCCTATGTAATCAGAAAAAAAATGCAAAGCTCAATTAAAAATCATTTTACTATTAAAATTAATACATTTGTTTGCATAAGAAATTGAAACCCTGGGAATTTGGTGACCCCTCTGCTATCTCCTGATCCCAAAGAATGTATTTTAATAAAGCACTGCATAAATGCAGTTACTGACTGAGGAGAGAGAAACTAAATATAGGCTGATGGATATAAATTTGGGTTGGTGGATATGATATTAACTTGACTGTAATCACAAATAAAGTACATTTAGGTTACTGTTTGCCTAAGTAAATGACATGGGCCCCTGGAAGTAGTGATGGGTGTGGATGGTAGATTCAGGTGCAAATAGCAGGTACCACCGTTCTATTTGCACGTACCAGGGGAGTGCTAAGTGATGTTCTCTTTTTTACTCTGAAAAAGCAGAGGCAAATAAAGTAAGTTTGGGAACCTCTGATTTAATAAATGTTTCTTTCCTTCTAAAACCATGTGGATTAGAGAAAACAGTACCCTAATATGAAACAAACTTACCAGGAAACACCATTATTTCCTACTTATCATTTTGTTTTATTATATCATTCTATCATTATCCCAAAGTGCTAATAAGTAAAAAGGTTGTGGAAAAAAGTCAAGTGAAGTTATTAGAATTAAAATATTCAAGGCCCTTGCATTGTCCAAATCAAATTAACTATGATGTGATGCAGATTCTGATTTTAAGGCAACTACTAACACAACAGAGAACAGTGTACAGATTAAAATTTAGTATGAGGGAACAGAGAATGATAAAGAAAAAAATCTACATAGAAAACACAAGAAAGAAAAAGAAGAAAACTTGAAAGAGGAAAAGCAGAATGCATAGAATTGATAATGACTGTTCTTATTCGAAAACCAAAAACACTGATAAACCAAATAAGAAACAGTCATTTCTCAAGCTTTAACTTACTTGTCCAATTGCAAACTTTTGCCAGAAGGGTTCACTTTCCTTTATACTAGGTTCACTAAGGACTCCTATTTTTTTTCTATACCTCTCTAGTCCCTCCTCCTCCTCCTGTCTTTTTTTTTTTTTTTCCCTTTTGCTTCTTGCCTTTCTAACCTAAAATTGCAGAGTCCAAACAGGGCTTGGGAGATTGCTCAGAGGTCTGAACAAAGTCTGTGGGAATCTTAGGTTTGACCCTCTGCTTGGGGGTGGTCCACTGAGCATTTCCAAGTAGAAAAACAAAGATTTTAAGGCTTAAGGGTAAAAGACTTTCTGTTTTTCCCTAATCCTAGGAGTCAGATATAAGAGGGAGGTTGAATTAGTAAGAAAACTTAGTTACAAAGTTGTAAGAAACACAAAGTGGTAGTTTTAATGAAGGAAATCTACATTTGGGGTGTTGGTGGGGGGGGGGGGGGGCGGATCTCCTTAGCCGCAGTCTGGAGCCCCTGAGTTTCTAGTGACACCCAGGCAGTTCATTGTTTGGAAGCACACATGAAGCCCTGGCATCTCCAGTGCTCTGGATCTGATGGTGCCCAGGGGGTTTGAGCACTACATCCTTTGGTGAGCAGGGCAAATGGTGCCAGGGTTTTCACTTGGGTCCTGCACATGAACTTATTCCCTGACCCCTGAGTCTACTGGTGACCTCTGGCACTGCTTGGGCACAGAAGCACTCATCTGAGCATCATCTGGCCTGCACTGCAGGGCTGAGTATCACTGAGTGGCGCCCCCCAGGTCCCCTCAGCACTGCTGGGTGTGGCCCCAACTAAAAGAAAAGCATTACAGGCAGCTGAGGGGTGACAGAGTCAAGTGTTGTCTTTTTCCTAAATAAGTCTGCCCTGAAGAAACGAAACACTAACTTCTTCCAGTCGAAACGTGTTAAGCCCAGGCATGAAGCAGCCTCACAGGGCAACACAAACACATAATAAATAGAACCTTGTTAGACTCAGGTGTGCATGTGAGGCTGAGTGCCCACATTCTGCTCTGTAATTTCTGCAGGTCCAGCAGGGGAAGCTGAGACACCCTGAGGGTTAGCGCTGAATGTGAACCGTGACCCAGGCAGCACATTGCAGCCACACAGCAAGTTCAATGCTTCTCAACCTTTCCCTGGCTGTGGATATCTTAGTTTGACATTCACTCCTTATTTTCATGTAAAGTCATCTGTAGTTGTTTTGAAGGCAGGGAAATTTTTCTGAGGCTAACAAAAGGGCCTACTGAAAAGCTGTTGTTCTTTTTTTTTTTTAAACTTTAAGTTTCCCTTCAGTGGTTACCTGTTAATCCTGAACAGGAAGGAAGAAAGGAAAGGAGAAAGAAAGAGAGTAAGGGAAGAAGGGAGAGAAAAAGGAAGGAAAGAAAGAAGGAAGGGAGGGAGGGAGGGAAGGAGGAAGGAAGGAAGGAAGGAAGGAAGGAAGGAAGGAAGGAAGGAAGGAAGGAAGGAAGGAAGGAAGGAAGGAAGGAGCCGGGAGGAGACAGCTCAAATGGCTAAGGACATGCCTAGTATGTGCAAGGCCCAGCATTTGATCACATGCAACGTAAGATCTGGTGGGAGTGGTTCCTGACCCCCTAACCCTGAACATAGCCCTTATTACATACAAAAAAGTACAAAGAGAAGAAAAAAAGGAGGGGATGCAAGTTAAAATTATCTACTGATGTCGGCAATGGCTGAAGGTATTGCTTGGCAGTAACGAAATTTAGTTTTCACTCAGTTGGAGCCTGTGTCCAGTCGGATTCCTAACCTGTGAAGTCGGACTAGCTGATTCCAGGTAAGAGGTTGGAGGCCACCTGCGAGCATGATCCTCGCTCTCACAACCCAAGGGGGGAGGGGGGCGGACGCGAAGGGAGATGTGGCAAGGACAGACCTGCCTCGGTCTCGCTGTCGTGGTCCAGGCTCGAAGGGTTTTCCTCTCCCTTCCTTCTCCCCTCTAACCCCCTGTTACCGGAACTGGCTAGTTCGAAGCGCTCCCTCTCCAGCAATTCCAGTTCTGCAAGTGCTCAACGACCATCACCCAACCCAGGGCGCCAGCCACTCTCCCAATCCCGGCAGGCGCCCCGGATTTTTTCGCATCTGACCGCGACAAGGGACGCGCGCGTCACCTCTGGAGCCGCCCCTCCTGGAACCCCCAACTTTGGCCCAATCGCTCCCCTAAGAAGCATTTCCGCCAAAGAACTCCGGTGCCAGTCGTCCGCACTCTGGGCTCAGTCATTCCCGTCGCGTCCCCCGTGTCCTGCGCTCCTCGGGAGCGGGGAATCTGCAAGATCAGGAAAACGTGCTCTACCTGTCCAGGCTAAATGCTCGATCTCGGAGAACCGGGCGGAAGGCGGAACCCCTTCCCGAATCCTCTCAATTGCAGCAGCAGCAGCACTGGTGATGCCCTAAACAGGAAAAGGCAACGACCCGGGCCGCGGGGGCTGGCGGGGGATGAAGTTCTGTGAGCTGTCAGCCCGGCACAGCTCTCAAAACTCCCGCCGGCCAGGACTACAACTCCCGGAGGGCGCCGCGGCAGCCCAGCCGCCCGTCGCCGCGGAGCTCAGGACCCACCCCCGCCCGGCCGGCCTCTGGAGCAAGGGCCGTCCCTCCCCGGGTCCCCCCAAGAGCTGCGCGTCCTCCTTCTGTGGTTCCACGTCCTGAGCTCTAAGGCCTCTTAAAGGAAAGAAACGTTAACACCCGCGGCCCTTATAAACCAGGGGACACACGCGGAAGGGTTGATGTGACTTTTCCATCCGGTGTGGATGGTCAGTGTGACTGACCTCCCATTAATCTTTTTCTCTGCTCAGGCCATCCAGCTGCGGTACCAGAGTTTCCTCTTCACATGCTTTTAACCCCACAGGAATTAGGGGGAGCTGGTTTGGGGAGGAATTGTTGGCTTGATACTCTTTCTTCCTAGACCGTTGACTTTGTTTTTTCAAAAATTGATAAATTAGTCCCAAAAAAAGGAACATTGGAAAGAACTTAACACCCCCCTCCCCAGCGCAGTTCCTTCCACAGCAAATCCAAATGAGCATAAGAATTAAGAAAAATTAGTGTGCTTGTTATAAAAAATAACTCAGCACTTTATTGTATGAGTTTGATGTGTGGGGGATGGTGGAGGTGAGAAGAATCCAAATTTGAGTAGTAGTGCCAAACACTTTACATGTATCTCTTTAAGTGTGTGCCATGAACTTAGAAGTGTGTATTATCCCTATTTTACAGGAAAGGAACAGTCCTAGGTAATTTAAGCGACTTACCCAAAGCCTGGCAAGCTACCTGGGACATATTCGATATACCAAACACAGTAATAACAAGTCTCACAATGGAGATGTTACTGGGCCTGCTCGAGCAAATCGATGAACAATGGGAGGACAGTGCTACAGTGCTACCCAAGGCCAAGTAACTATTTATTTAGTGGTAGAAGAACCAGACTGAGATTCTATTCTAAATCCTGTGTGCTTAAATACTGCCAACTACTTTGCCTCTATTAGTGTTTTTCCCCCCAAATTCTATTTTATTAAAGCATCATGAGTTACAAAATTATTCATAGTTGGGTTTTAGCACAGCGGTAGGGCATTTGCTTTGCATGCAGCCAACATGGCCGACCCAAGTTCAATTCCTCCGCCCCTCTCAGAGAGCCCGGCAAGCTACCGAGAGTATCTCGCCTGCACGGCAGAGCCCGGCAAGCCACCCGTGATGTATTCGATATGCCAGACACAGTAACAATTGTCACAATGGAGATGTTACTGGGCCTGCTGGAGCAAATCGATGAATAACGGGAGAACAGTGACAGTAACTAGCAGCTCCCACCAGGACCTAGGTAGAACAATCTGATCAAGCAATAAATGACCACATAAGCCTTGGAAGGAAGAGGTAAAAATCTGTGGGTGAATTCAGTCTTTAAAAGCTACCCCATATTGTCCCTGGCATGCCGCCAGGAATGATTCCTGAATGCAGAGCCAAGAGTAGGCCCTGAGACCTCAAAAGCAAACTCTGCCAAAAAAAAAAAAAAGTTTCCTTTTTATTTCCCCCATAGTAAAGGTAAGGTAAAAGGTAAAGGCCCTCCCCTCCCGTTGATCGTCGATTTGCTGGAGCGGGTCCAGTAACATCTCCATTGGAGACTTTGTTGTTCTTGCCGGGCTCTCCGAGAGGGGCGGAGGAATCGAACCCGGGTCGGCCATGTTGGCCGCTTATAAGGCGAACGCCCTACCCGCTGTGCTATCGCTCCAGCCCCTGACAAATGTTTTAAAAGAACAGGGGAGAACTGTCCATCCCTGTGTCTCTGCAGAAGTGTGGTAAGTCCTGCTGAACTCTGGGGGATGGGAAGGCACCGGGCTGGCAAGGTGGGGGAGAACTAGAGTCTCTATCCCTGAACCATTGCAGGTGAGAGGTAAAGGTAAAGGCCCTCCCGTTGATCATCGATTTGCTCGAGCGGGCCCAGTAACGTCTCCATTGGAGACTTTGTTGTTACTGTGTCTGGCATATCGAATAGTCACGGGGAGCTTGCCAGGCTCTGCCCTGCGGGCGAGATTCTCGGTAGCTTGCCGGGCTCTCCGAGAGGGGCGGAGGAATCGAACTTGGGTCGGCCATGTTGGCCGCTTGTAAGGCGAGCGCCCTACCCGAAATGAGAGAAGGAATTCGGAGTTCTGACCGCCATCTATGATCAAGAATCAGGGACGCTGTCTCGTTTGCCAAGGCGTTGAAAATAAGATGGGCCGGATACATAATGCAAGTTAGAGAAAACCGCTGGACTAGAGCCATTACTGACTGGATTCCACGGAACATAGGACACGTGGCCGCCCACCTACAAGATGGTCAGACTTTGTCAAAACCCTGAACAAATGGTTTGAGGCTCTTTGTGTTCCTAGAGAGAGCAGATGCCATTGGGCTACACTAGCATGCGACAGGGACTAATGGAGACATTATTGGTGCCCGCTTGAACAAACTGATGAATAACGAGATGACAAGTGATACAAGTAAAGTGATGGTAAATCAAGAAGGCCACATGCATTCCTTTATTTAGCTATCTGCTTAGAAAAGACCTTAGAGACTAAACTCTTGCAGTTCAGGCTTTATGAAAATAGAAAGCAAAGCCTAAGGCACTCATTGTTTTATTTAATCTACATACCTTTCTCAAGGGCTGGAATGATAGCACAGTGGTTAGGGTGTTGGCCTTGTACTCGGCTGACCTGAGTTCGATTCCTCCATCCCTCTCTGAGAGCCCGGCAAGCTACCAAGAGTATTCGACCCTAACGTCAGAGCCTGGCAAACTCCCTGTGGCGTATTCAATATGCCAAACACAGTAACAAGTCTCACTATTGGAGACCTTACTGGTGCCTGCTCGAGCAAATTGATGAACAATGGGAGGACAGTGCTACCTTTCTCAAATTTTCCAAAGTGTCCTTTATAGCATTTTTTTCTTAATCATGAGACTTGAAACAGAATTGACCATGCATTCTATTTAGTTATCACTTTTCTAAAAGTTCCTTTATTTTGTTTTTATTTATTTTTTGGGCCATGCCCAGTGGTACTCAGGAGTTACTCCAGACTTTGAAACCAGGTCAGTTGTGTGCAAGGCAAATGCCCTTCCCACTGTATTATTGCTCCTGCTCAAGTTCCCTTTTATTATTTTTTAATAAAAAATTAATTTATTGTTGGTTTGCAATATTATAAAAGTTTGTGGTCTATATTTCCTGGAAATGTGTTAATATATAGTGTACTCATTTGAAGCAGTTTTTTTTAAGTCCTTTCTTTTTTACAATATTGCATCTTTGAGGAACACAGGTCATAGTAGAATGTCCTTTAATTTGAAATTATCCAGTATTTCCTCATGATTAGTCATGAAATTTGGGCAGGAATAATACAAGAGCGTTCTAGTGCCTTTTGTTGGTTTGTGTTCTGGGCCACCTTCTCTGGTGCTTAGAGGCTACTCCAGGCCTCTACCCAGGGTTTTCTCCTGGCAGTGTTTGGAGATGCCTGCGATTGAACATGGGCCTCCCTCATGCAAAGCATGCACTTAACCCTTTGAGCGATGTCTCTAGCCTGTTTAGTATCTTTTTAGTAAGCACATGATGTTGATTAGTCTCTATGCTCCTCAGTGAACCATATCTTTTGCTTTCATAACCTTATAAACTCCTCTTCGCTTGAATTTCCTTTACTGGGTGTGGCCCAAACCACCTTCCCCACAAAGGAAGGGTAAACAACAAACTTCCCCCCATTTTTAAATTGAGGTACAAAATAGTACTTCCCCCACTTTTATTGAGGTACTGTGATTTATATATTATTAATATGTTCACATATTATTATCCCAACACCATACCCGCCCCTAGGGTATCCACTTCCCTCCATCCAGGAGCCTGTTCTCTCTTTCCACCCCCCCAGGTAAGCACAATTCTGTAGACAAATTTCCAATCAATTCAGTTGTCTTTGGCCATTTATTATTCCCTTATTATTCCTTTGTTTGCCCTGATCTCTGAGTCCTGCCAGGAGTGATCCTGAGCACACAGAGCTATGTATAAACCTTGAGTATCGTTGGGTATGGCCAAAAAAACCAAACCAAACCAAAACAAAACAAACAAAAAAAAGGTAACCAGGGACTGGAACTAGAGTGATAAAATGAATTAAGATATTTGTTTTTCAAGCAGCCAAGCCAGATTTACTCCTTGGCAACACACATTGGTCTTGCAGCACGTCCAACAGCCCAGAGCCAGGTGTTAAGCCTGGATCACAGCTGAGTGTGGCCCTAACCCTGCCCTCCATTCTCCAAATGGACAATCAGAGATTACAATGCTGATTTCTCAGTCAATTGCCAGAGATAGCTTCCTTTCTGTTGGAAGCTCCAATCCTTTGATCTTAGGAAATGTAGACAAGGTTCATTGATAGGACTATTTCACCTCTTGAGATAAATTACTTCCTTTATTTGAACCCCAGATGACTGAGAATAAAGAAATTCACAAATCCCTTTTCCTTTGCCTTTTAGAACACACACACACACAAAAAGGGTAAACTATTTTGGTCTGGGTTTTTTTTTTGGTGTTATTATTGTTTTTTGTTTTTTGAAATAGGGGTTAGGGTTGGAGCCTCCAAGCAGTGCTCAGGTGGCCTTGGGGTCCCTTTTTAGTCCAGTGTAAGGACCTGAGGTTCTGGTACTGGTTGTTGTGATGCTAGGGATTAGCCAGCCGACCCTAGTAATGCTTGGGTGCACCTAAGATCACATCCAGCAGTGCTCAGACCTGGGTCCACCACAAGCAAGGCATGTAAACTTAACCCCTGTCTTCCTCTCTACCCCCGTTTCAGGCAGCTTTATTTGTTTGGTAACCTTGGGAATGGAAAGAACTCTGGTGTACTACGCTTCTCTAGAGACTGCTT